ATCATGTATTCACTCATTAGAGTTCTAGTCTCTACAATCATACATGTTCATTGGAATATCTTCTTTGTCATCATCATTACCATTCAAGGTGGCTATATACTCATCTACACAAAACAGATATATATTCTGCCACTTGCAGTTCAACTTCTTCTTTTTAGGTTCTTCCAAAACCATCATGAATCTTCATCTCTAGATTTTTCCACAACTTCATGAACTTCATCCATGTTTCAGGCACATGTAATTTCAACTTCTTATTCTCTATGTTCTCCCATAACCGATTCTTGATTACGATGATATTCCGACATTTGTTTGACGATAAATCAATTGATTATCTTTGACTTTGAATAAATTGTTTTCCTTTTATTTTCTTTACGATTAGAACAACCGGATTTAAAATTTTTAGTTCGAGACATCTTTTTTATCAAAAAAAATCAATGTTAATAACTTAACAATATATATTTTAATATTTGTAATATTTATCAAAAGTTAATGTTTAAACATTAGAGCATCAAACAAAAACTCTTGTTTTCTAACCTTTCTAAGTATAGAGTATATTATATGATATAGAAGCCAAAAAATGGGAAGCCAATTGCCCCCTCCCCCACCCTCACCTAAAATTTGTCAATGTTCTCCTCTCTATATCAAATATTTTAAAAGCTAAAGCTATAAAACATTGTGGGTAGAGTGATAAACAAAATTCACAAGACACTATACTATATGAAACCTCTATACCCAAAACTTTGAAAACCAAAGCCCATATAGCATAGTGATATAGTGATAAACACAATTCACAAGACACTATACTATTATAAAAAGGAAAACCAATAACATTGTTTTTCTACTTTCTCTACTTCATTATGAATTCATACATAAAGGCATTCAAATAAAAAAGAGTATTTAACATGGAAGAGAAAGAAGTTAAGTACGAGTGGGATTTGGGAAATTTAAAGAGATAAAAGATACTAACATGTAGTTATGGAGTCAATAGAGGGCTCAGAGGGAGGACAAAAGCTACTACCAACAACTCAATGATATATCAAGTTTCAAGATAAAAAAATAGAAGTTTTCGACGAGAGAGTCAATAAACACCGACGGTCTACTAGTACCGTTATTAATTTTGTTAGGGTTTGATCTTTTGGTGGGACTTTTTATAAAAACAATAACATTTGCTTGAAATTATATAAGAAACATATGTAGACGATCTACTAGTACCGTTATTAAGTTGTTAGGGGTTTAATCTTTTTGGTGAGTTTTATAAAAACTATAAACATTTGCTTGAATTTATATTAGAAACACATTATTTATTTTTTGATATAGATACTTTCTTTTAATTGTTAATAAATTATAGAATTTATGATAAGATTTGATTTTTTTAGTTGATTTTTTTTACAATTAAAATTACTTTTAATATTGCAAACAAAACATTACATCGTTTATAAAGCTAACTACTAATTTTCTTTAATAAAACACATAAAAATGTATTGTCCATAAATCCGGAGGCCTCTTAAAATCGGAGGCCCCGTGCAACCGCACCACTCACCACACCCTCATGGCCGCCACCACTAAAACACCACCCCCTCTCTTGTGGAGCTGATGTGGCGTGAGGCCTTATGATCTCCTTCACAACTGACCACACCTCGTCCTTCCTCTTCATTTTCGGCCTTATGGCCACATCTGGGTTTTCTTCACGTGGTGATGGGAAGGTGGTGATGATGTGACAACCTTCAATTCTGTGACTACACTCATCAAGCCAACCATTTTATTTTATAGAATATCTGAATCTGCGGATTCTATTTCTAAGAGGACATATTTACAAAAATAGAAAAGGATTCCAAATAAAATCCGGCAAACTTGTTCGATTTCATTAAGTTGGAGGGTTGGACCCATTTTTGGCAATATTGTGTTTGTGTGAACGTTACAATGAGTATGACTGTATGAGCGAATGCATACACATGGTAGCAATCATACAACTAATCGCACACTATTAAATCCCGAAACTTGTTGTTCCCGCCGATACAATATATATTCCCCCAAAACTTCACCGGCACCACCGGTCTATCTCTTTCTCACAAACACACATTTCTTTCTTCCACTCGAAACCCCAAAACGACGAATTTCACTGTATAAGAGAAAAATGATTAAAATATCCTCTCTCATCACCATTTTGCACAGGAAACCCTAATCTTTCCCTCTCAAAATCTCTTCTTTTCCTCATAAATTAGGGTTTCAAAACACGTAATAGAATGTACAGGGAGAGAGGTGGAGGAGGATCCAAGGGTAAAATGGAAGCGATCTTCAACGGCGACAAGTTCGAAGGGAGTGGTGAGCGGATTGAATTTGAATGGGAAAGAAACTAATAAAGATCGTTCTTCGCCTGGAAACTCCAAGATTTCTTCCCTTCCTAGGTCTTCTTACTCCAATAAGAAAAACTCTCAAAAGGTTATTTTTTATCTATTTCCAGTTCCTTTGTATATGTGTATGTATATCTTGATTTGTTTCTGCTATGTGAGCTTGGAAGGAAATCAATTTGGTGTCAGTTTCGTGGTTTGTTTGTTACCGTGAACATGTTTGTTGTTTGGCTACTAATAAATTATAGTTTTTTGTTTATAAATTCATGAAAGTCTGTGATAGAGAAGACGAGGAGAGGAATAAATGATTTGTTGGGAGGAAGAGAACTGAAAGCTCTTATAATTTTCAAAAATCCTTGTCTAACATGTCATCCTCTATGGTTTGTTCGCATTATGGTTTTCTTTTTTAACGTTGGCAAAAGTATTTCTGTAGTTAAAGTGCAGGTAAAGTTCACCTGGCAACAGAAAAGTAATTTTAGAGAACACATTACCTTTTAGATACATATTGCTTTCTTCATTGTCAACATAAGAACAACCTGTTAAACCTTTGGTGATGGATTTGATTTGCCATGATGACTAAGAGAGGATATTCTTGGTTTCCTAAAGAGCCATTTCAGATTACTTCTACAAGTCAAGGGACAAAGGAGGCAAGTTCTCCAGATGCAAGATCCCACTGCATTAGATTGTATAGCACCTTTGAAGCAAGGCCTAAACCGCATCAGTTTTTTGGCTAACAAAGTAAATGATGTCTTTCGTTCAAAGAAGGAGAAAAGAGGCATGCGAATGTGTTGGTAATCATGGAATTACCTACAAAAAAGGAGAAGAATTTAGTTTGAAATGTCCCATTCTAGAATACTGAAAATCATGTTTTGGGAAGCCTGAAAGGGTGCTTCATCATATGAAGCAGACTTGTACAACTATTCAATCAAAAGGGTACTTACAACATAGGGTAGACTGGTAGTTGAGTTGTATAGGTCCTAGGAACTTTACAATCAATCTTTATGTAGATTTAAGTATCAACCTACATTTGTTATGTTATTATATGTATGTATGCCTTTTTTTATATCGTATTATTACCCTTTTTTTATTCATATGATATGTCTAACATAACTTTTTCATGTGGTGTGTGTTGTGTGTGTGTGTGTGTGTATATTACTATATATATATATATATATATATAGGAGAGGAAAAAATATAGTAGAGGAATCTGAACAGACAGTGAGGAGTCCAGATGTGAGTGGATCTGATGGGGAGGACACATCATGGATTTCATGTTTTTGCAGTCTGCGTTGGGAATGAGTTTTTTTGTGAAGTTGATGTGAAAATTACATCCAAGATGATTTCAACCTCTGTGGTTTAAGCAGCCAACGTTCCCTATTATGATTATGCTCTTGATTTGATCCTTGATGTCGAATCCTCTCATGGTAAGTAAACCTTTTTTTATTTATTTAAAAAAAAAAGATATCATGATTGAAAACTTTAATTTTTTTATATACGATATGCAGGAGATATGTTCTCTGAAGAACAAAATGAGATCATTGAATCAGCAGCAGAGATGCTTTATGGTCTTATTCATGTACGATATATCTTAACAACCAAAGGATTGGCTGCCATGGTAATATATTATAATATAATTTAATCTAAAAAATACTAGTTTTTTTTTTTTTTTTTTTTTTTTTTTTTTTTTTTTTTTTTTTTAAATTTGTTGTTAAAATTTAAAAAATGGACAGCTGGAGAAGTACAAGAATGCAGAATTGGGAGATGCCCGAGAGTCTACTGCTGTGGTCAACCCTGTTCTTCCGGTTGGTCAATCAGATGTGTCTCGACAAGGCAATGTAAAAATTTCTGTCCAAAATGGTGAAGACATTTATACCCCTCAATCCAGGTTTCAAGATAGTATCCTTTTTGGCTACATTTTAATTTGACAAAAGTTCAATGTTATGATATTATAGATAACATCTTACTTCACTTTCTTCCTTTTATAGATAACATTCTACTTTGAAAAATCTTCCCACTTTGTTAAAAAATGCATCAAACTTTGTTTAAACCATTAATGCAACAAACTGCCATCTTTTACCATTTTACATTTAATTAAAAATGGTAACCAATGGTTAACACTTTTACATTAAATGGTTCTAAGAAGACTTTGCATGGATCGTTAAAACCACAAATGTAGTTTTTTTTTTTTTCATCAAAGAATTCTTGAAATTTACCTCTTTCCTATTTGTAATCATATATTTTGGAAGGAATTGTGGACGTTGTTGCCATTGTTCCTTTAACATGATATGTAGACCTAGATGGAGCTTATTTCGGATCAACATTTCCTCACTTATTTCTTATGACTTATGGCACCTGAAGCCACAAAAAACCTCACAGGATTATGTTCCAAGAATCTTTGGTTTCAAGGTCTACAACCCATGACAAGAATCACATCACATCATATCATCAATCCTGGATCCAAACATCTTGACTTGTTCCTTATCAAGAGTTCATGTTAATCAACAAAATACAAATTAAGTTCATAAGAAATCAATTTAGGATCCTATTATATTATATGTTTAAACACCTAATTAGGAAAAAAAAAATGTGTGCTCAAGAGTGTTATGTATCTTTTTTTTTCTCTTTTTATTTGTATGAGTACTAATTTTAATTTTGGTCGGTTAGGAAGGTTTTTTTTTTCTTCTATGAAATGCGTTCAACTTTGACTTGTGAAGAACCAAAATCATGTATTTGTAGTTATGTTTATGAGTTCATGAAAACAGATTCACACAGTAGGTTTCTTTTGGTTTTTCTTGATTGATTGTTATGTTTTCATGATTGTTTCCAGGGTCTATGATTATGTTATCAGTTTACAATCAAATAAATGATTTATTTAATAAATTTAACATATGATTAACAAAAAGTCATTTTCTATTTAAGATAATGTAGTCTCGTGTTAGATTAAAATGAACAACATATTTTCATAATTAGTTTTTGAAATTACTTCCACGACTCTAAATGATTAGCTCTAATTCTAAAGTTTTACTACATTATGATGCGAGAAGGTGCCAACATGATCGAATCTAAACTTGTTAATAAAAAAGTCAAATTACGTATTTAATTCAATCAAAGAATAAACATGTCATTGTTCTAAATTGTTCAAAATTGAATAATTGTTCTAAATTGTTCAAATTGAATAACACAACAAGTCAAAAAAAAAAAAAAAAAAGATAATGACGCAAAAACAATATTGGAGTTGTTATTAATAACTAGGTTACAATCCATGGAAAACCACGGGTAATAAATAAAAATAAATTGATAATTAAAAATGATAATAGAAAATTAAATATTTTTAACATTTTAATAAATTATAAAATATAAGTTTTGTTATACTTTTATATTGATTATTTTAAAATTAATATATATACTAATTTGAATATCCGATAAACGTTATATATCTGTAGATATTTATAAAAATTACGAGTTCATAGAAATAATATAAATTTGGATACCTCAGTTAAAATTCGGACCATAGCACATTTTTAGATATTTATTATTTTCATCCTAAAACTTTAGTTATAATAAGTCGAGACGTTAAAAGAAACCCTAGAAAGACTTTCTTTTCATACTGGGACGAAAATGGAGAAGCCACAAAGAAAGAATGATCATTTGACGTCTCAGGTTCATCCTAAAATCAGTGTTGAAAATCTTCAAAGCAATGAGATTTGACATTCGGAAGGTATATATCATATTACAATCTCACTAATACATATAATTTCGTTGGTCAGATTGAGAAGAAATCTAACAAATGCTTTGCTTTCAACGTTATAATCATAGAAAAAAAACCATACATAGTTACCTGTTTGGAGAATGAACCTTTAAAATCGAAGAAGAGAAGGTCGTTGCAACTATGAGATGAAGCGGTGAAGCCAATTAAGGACCGAAAATATTTCTTAAATTTTATTCAAGTAATTATATCACAACTTAATGAACAAATGGTATTATATAATAAATGTAGAAATATTATTCACATCAACGATTTTTGTTTAAGTTATAAATAATTTAGTTTCTTTCTTTGTTCTTTATGTTCAACCACTTATACTTAATTAGCTATACTAAATACAAGACAAAACTTCAAAAATGGTCCATGTGGTTTCCGAAAATTGAAGTTTAGTCCCTAATATTTAAAAACCTCACAGATGGTCATCGTGGTTTCAAAACTTTTAACAAATGGTCCTTTTCGCTAACTCCATTAGCTTTTGACCTTTAAGTGAAGGGCATTTCGGTCATTTCACTACTATTGGGACCATTTATGAAGTTTTGCCTTATTAATATATATATATATATATTTATATATACCCACCTTCTCTCTCTCTCTCTCTCTCTCTCTCTCTTACAGAGCTTTGCCAGACCTCGACAAATTGCTGATCTTTCCTAGTAACGAACCCATTTTGTTTCCACCAAACCCTAGATTTGTGATCCTTTTTGTTCCTAAATCCTTCGACTACCCCAACATGTTCTTCTTAAAGCCCCCTCTCTTCTTTCCCTATTTACCAGTTCTCAAAGAACCCATAAAAACCTCAGACCACAGCTCCGATTCACCTTCTTTACTGCAAAAAAGCTTGATTCCATGACTTTCAATGTTACAACCATTCCTTCTGTGACAACCCGAAATTTTTTTGCTTTGAAGCTCAGTCAGTCAACTAACTCCGTGTCAGACTCCTCTGCTATCGTTTAGCACATTTAGAGCCTGTTTGAGTGTTCTGAGCCTAGTCATTCAAGTTATGAGTGTAGGAAAATACCTGTTGGCTTCACTGTACAACACTAAAGCCCTAAACTCCAACATGTGGAGTTTACGACCGTAAACTCAACCCTGGCCGGAAACTCCCCTATAAGACTTCATCCCTTCATTTTCTTTCATTATTTCATTTCCTACTCAAGAACACTTCCAAATCCTCTCAAGTATCATTGAGTTCATCATCTTAGATCATCCAAAAAAACGTAAGTGTTCTTTCCTTGATTTGTTGTTACACTTCATTCCTAGTTACACTCTTTGATTTCATCCATGAAAAAACATTCATTTTTAACTAGATCTTCAAATCTTCAAGTTTCACCAAGAACACCAAGAACACCAACTAGTGTTTGGCCAAAATCGACCATTTAAGCCTCCATATCGTAAGTACTCTTCCCTATACTTGATATCTAGTTAAGACTCATGCTTAGAGCCTTGAAATCATCAAGAATGAGGACCAAAAGGAGTTTACGGCCAAGCCATCTCCCATGGCCGTAAACCCCTATAAGTATGCCTTTTGAGCCTTAAACTCTTCCTAAGGCTTGGACTTAAGGCTAGAACCACTCCCTTGTTGCTTTGTAAGACCTTGAATCATCACCAAACTCATCATTTAGAGATTTACGGCCCAAGAGTAAACACCCTTGGCCGTAAACTCAAGTATGGTCAAGTTTTGACCTTAAAACACATCTAGACTCTTGCTAAACCTTAGAACACTTGACACCCTGAGACTCCTTACCTTTAAGACCCTAAATGTGACCATTTTAGAGTGTTTACGGCCAGGAGTAAACTCCCTTGGCCGTAAACACCTCAACACTCTCCATTGAGTTGGTCTTTCTCATCCTTGTGTAGAGCAAAATTCCCTCAAGCTTCCCTAGCCTTCAAACATCCTCATATGCAACTTTGACCATGAGTTTACGACCGTAAACTCCCTTGGCCGTAAACACTAGCCGTGAACACCCACCATGGCCATAACAACACCTTTAGGTCAATCACATGTGATTCCAACACTTGGTCAAAGTGTTTCCTAGTCCCGTGAGGTGTTCCTGCATTTGTGGTGCTTCCAAGCACTATATTTATTGTCAGTATATGCCAAGTATGTCATTTAGGACTTGTTGTATCTCGGGACTTCATTCGTGGGAACTTCTCATCCTTACACCGTATTCGTGAATCACCCACATCAGTGAGTTTCATAACCCCGTAATGAATCTTTTAACTGTTTTTACATGTTTAAGGGTGGATACAAGTTGAACACAATGATAATTGTGTAAATGTTTGTTATAAACATCTTCAAAAGAATGCTATGTCTATTATAGTGATCAAACATTCAAAAACTCTTTTAAAGTTATGTTTTTTATAGTTTAGCTCACTCCATTTTAAAGTACAAGCATAACTTTGTAGATAAAGGAGTCTTTTCAATAACAGCCTAAGTAAAACTATTAGTAAACTATAATAGGTAGGTATAGTTTAGAGACCCAGTTCATACTAGATACGATACACGATAATATAAAGCGAACACACAATAAAGAGAAATAGGGAGGAAACATACTATAACAAAAGTACAAAGGGAAACATACTATACAGTACAGATTAGATAGAAGCACAACACACTAAGTACCGGGGAAGGGAAAAGCACGTAAAATATATCTTTCCGGTTTGCGTTAACTTAGTACGATTACACGTATCTGGGTTAGCAGACACGAGTGATAAAATATAATAATATAAACACACCACACTAAGTACCCGGGAAAAGCACGTAGAATATATCTTTCCGGTTTGCGTTAACTTTAGTACGATTACACGTATCTAGGTTAGCAGACACGAGGTTATAAAATATAATAATATATTTTTTCCGGTTTGCGTTAACTTTAGTACGATTACACGTATCTGGGTTTGATAGGTTTTATACAAACATTCCTATGTGTGCATGCAACCCTAATTGGATCTATGTTTCACTATAAGACATACAACTATATGAACACAAAATAAACCCTAGCATGCTTCTATAATTTTTTGAAAATTATATAGAAGTGTAGTAGACATACCTTTGTTGTTATATAGCAATAACAACTAGTTCCTTGATCTCTGAACTCTTGAAAGCAAGCACCACAATTGTAGTGCCTCTAATGGCTCACAAACACCTTGAAGCAAGAAGGCAATAAGAGAGAGAGGGAAGGATGCTAATTTCGGCCCTAGGGTTTCCCTTGGAATCAAGTGGCCTAAAATTGAAGCATAGGGCATCTATTTATACTGTAGGGTGCTAGGGTTTCAGTCTAAACCCTAATGGATAGCTTAGCCACCAAGCAGCCCAAGGAACCTTCTGGAATGAGGCCCTTGGACGAAAATATGATGATCCCTCATCATAATTTCGTTCCCCCTTAGTCCATTAGGTTTCCCAGCCCAAAACTCAACTATCACACATTTGACAGTTTATACCCCTTTATTTAATTAATCTCTTTTAGTCACCAAATTAATTCCTAATTAATTTATGACTAATACTAATTAAATAAATATGATTTCTCCTTTAATATATTATTCTTATAATATATTAATAAACCATAATATCTTCTCTCATATCAAAATTACCTTGTCAAGTTGCTTTGGTGAAGGCAACCAAAAGGACAATGCACACTCGGGTCAAGTACATACCAAATATAGTTACGGACTTAGACACTAATCCAACAGTCTCCCACTTGGATAAGTCTAGTAACTACATCTCACATATGACTTCCGTATCCGATTAGCAATCGTAGCTTTCAATAGCCGCTGTCAACTCTGACCAATAATCTGTCCTTCAGATAAGGGATCGTATAATCCTCTGTTCTAGATATCATGCTAACAATACTTATGTTTAGCATTTTATTTCTTGATCTCTGATTTGTTCGACATAGAACTCAGTTGAACACATCAACTTCATCCTGACCGGGCCCGGCACATAAGTCAAACCAAATCATCAAGTGGCCAAGATATCGCTTTTATTCTCATAGAATAAAAGGAACAGAAAAA